TGACGACAAGTGTTGGTCTGTCATTGGCTGGCTGCGCGACACCCAGCGAGAATAAAGAAATAGATGAAGCGCGAGATGCGTGAAATCAGCGTCAAGGGGGAATGGATCTGAGCCAAATAGAGGCGATTCAAAGACGCTGAGACGCAAACAGCTTTGGGGCCAAGTTGCCCCGGTTAGAAGCTTGCCTTGGAAGGGGTGCCATTTTCCTGGAGAAGCTGTGGTGCGCAGAGTTCGAGCGCCTGGCACGTGTCCGCGAGGGCGAGGCGCAGCTCTTGGAGCACCGCCGCCAGCTGGAGCGTTCCCACATGGCGCAGCAGCGCGAGATGGAGCGCGATATGGAAGCCATCGAGGAGGGCAGGGCAAGGGACCTGCAGACCGAGATGGAGATTCGGCTGCGGCAGGAGGAGACCACCCAGAGGTTGAAACACGCCGCAGAGGTGCGTCGGCCCATGCGCTTTTGAAAGTAGGCCAGTCCGTGTGTCACAAGTAAAAATCGGCCAAAATACACGGTTTCGAACCGTGCAAGAATCGTGGAAAACAATGTTAAGACGTGGAAAAATCATGCGCACTCACTCAATCGTTGTTGCACCGTTTGGCCCCATTTCTAATAGAAATTTTCTACACCAAAAATGCACGATCTAACACGATGCTTACACGATTTCCTGTGGGATTGTGACACGTGCATTTTTGCCTGTATCGAAACGTTGCCATTCAATTTGCAATGCTCATGAAAGTCGGATGGGACTTGCCCTCCGAGTCGCGATTCAAAATTTGAATCGCAAAGCTAATGGCAAGTTCAGATTGACGGTAGTGGGTAGTATTGGGGATAGAGTATTAGGGTTTCCATTGTCAACGAAAGTACTTAGAGCCCAGTCCTCCGAGTTTCATGTAATCTTCAACCCGGACTCTGTGTCAAAAAAAGATGGGATGGTGGGTGCAAAGAAGATGGTTGGCGCTCTTTGGCCATGGTCCCCAAAGGGGCCTCCCTACTTATGGGTTGACCCCATAAGTAAGGAGGCCGCAGGCCAACAGAGATGGCACACCCAGGTGACTCCTTGGAGCTTCAGTACTGACTCTCTTTGAATTTGCGCCAAGAGCCCAACAAATCCCTGGCTCGCCTTGAAACACAGGCTGTGGACCAGATGGCCCATACTACCAGCAAGTGGGGTGGCCAGAAACTTATTTTGGGTCCCTATACCGTCCAGACTGCCTGGCGCATCCAAAGCGCCCACCCATTTCTCCCAAATTGAAGCTTCAGTCGCTACTAACGATTCGTTAGTCACACATTTCTAATAGACTTGCGCAGCACACGAAGGTCAGAAGCCTTTCCAACTTTCAAGTCCACCGCTGGATTCACAAGAGATGACCTCAACTTCGGCTGCAACCGCTCTAAGCGCGTTGTTCTACTTCTTTACAGTACTGAACGGCCATTTCTGTCAGTCAACACAGCCAAGTGCACCACCTGCACTGGTTGTTGCTGCACAAGACTGGCGATTTATTGCCCGGGGACGAGAGGCATTAATAGCCGCCGTTCTGGGCAGATTGCTGCCATGGAGAAGACACGCTGTATTTGAAACAGCACATAATGCAGTTTTGTGTTGCATGCCTCAGTTGGGCCGAATCCAGGACATTGCTGAAAAAGAGGAATACGAGGCGGCTGCAAAAATACGGAAGGAGCTGGAGGACAGGTTGGCAGATGAAGACGCAAACATGCGGTGCCGCCACCAGGAAGTGATGGCCCAACTGGCAGTGGAGCGGGGGAAGCAGATCCTGGAGCTCGAGACTGCGTGGCGTAAAAAGGTGACCCTGCAGCAAAAGCAACGGGCAACGTGCGGCCAGTGGCGCCCTTGGCTTACGTAACTCTGCATGCAATGTGTGTCGCACTGCATATGTCACTTAGCTCTCCAAACGACTGTGGAAGGGAGCAGTGGCAGCGAAGAGCGGCGGAGGATGCCGACAACGACAAAATGACGTGTTGGGAATGCGGTCACTGTACCGTGACCTCACAGAATGGGTTCGAGATGCTGCAATTCCTGATACCATAATTGGGAAAGGTGCCTTTTGTTGTACAATAGAAACAGCCACCTTCGGCACAGAGTTTAGTAACTGCACGTGGACAACAAAAGCTGTACAACAGTGCAGGAGTCACAATTGGGCATTGTGTCGGCAGCCAATCAGCCCAGAAGACTGTTTTAGGAGTTTATAAGGGATGGATATTAGCCCGCCTGGATGTCCTTCTTGATCATGAAGAAAGGGTGTTGTGATGCAAGGTGTTGGAAGCCGAAAGGGCAGACCTTGAAAGGCGACAACCTCTGCGGAAAGCAAAGGCGGCTGCCACACAGGACCAGTACGTGGAACTGGAGCGAGCAGCAGCCAGGCAAGTGGCTAGCCTCGCGCGCACCGCCAGAAAATTAAAACACGACCTTGATCCACGGCAGCCCCTGACTGCCACTCAACTTCTGAGTGACGGAGAATCTCTGGATGAAGATGCACCCACCGAGGAGCGCACCACCGCCCAAGGTTGTTCCCCACCGTCGAGATCCCTGCTCGATTTGCTGAGCCCAGAGGCACAGGTGCAGTCTCCAACTTGCACACTAGCCAACCAACCCGCCAAATCGTCGTCCCTGGGCTGCCCTCGCTCGGACAACCCCATTTCTTCAATTCAAAATGGGCCTGGTGAGCAGTCCACACTCTCAGCAGCCAGTGCAGAGCATTCTCAATCAGGACATAGTGCCCAGCATGCCAACAGGCAAGAGCCGGAGGTCGGCTCAGCTCCAACACCGACGTCAATTGGGGGACAGGTGGAAGGCCACCACATTGATGGTGCCATGGCAGGCCCTGCCGACAGTGTGCACACAGTTGGAACTGCGCCTGGCTCATCTCCAGCCCTCGCAACTGGTGTTGAAGCAAGCCCGCAACATCATCCAGCTGCAAGACACTCCTCAGAGGCATCGGGCAACTCACACAGGGACCCAGAGGCCGAACATGGGTAAGCAATGCAGCAGCCTCTGGCCAATGGATCTGGTTGCTCTGAGTGCCATGGTCCCAGCTTGTCACAGGAGTTTCGACGGCTCGTTTGTCAATACGTTCCCTTCGAATGGCCCCATCCCTTGGTTCAGTAGCCATCTAGCAGGCGTTCCCACAACACATTGGCGACAGATCTCCAAATCTTATGTTACAACCTGCATTGTGGCTTCTGTCCTAGCTCAGCACCAAAGGTTGCATCTTTTGCTGCGCTGCAGGACCTTGCCAGGGCCCTCCAGTATATCTGAAACAATGGGCACGACTGCTGGCCCAAGCAGCAAGCTGCTGGAGGCCGCTGCAGAGCTCACTCACCAAATCCAAACTTTGCCCACGTCACCAGCGATCAGCACAGCCGCTGGGGAAGGTAAGAGCCACCTTCAAATGCAAGCTGCGACAACTCTCAGTGCGGACACAACGAGCCCACAGACGCCGTCGTCCCCAGTGCTCGGGGCCAGTGAGGCCCATGATTGGGGTTTTGGCACAGAGGCGCATCATTTGGGTGCGGAAAGCAGATGTGGAGACAAACCAGAAACAGGGCGGGTGGCAGCCCAGCCGTTGGGAAGCTGGGGTCCGCTGCCATTGAAGGGGAGGAGATCCCACCCACACATCGAGGACATGGAATGGATGAAGGAGTTGAGAACATTGGCGAGAGGGTCGGTGAGGCCAGTCCCAGAGGAAGCATCACCAGATGGGCAGAACGAAGGAGACCCTGGTTTGCAGGCTGATGGCGACAGGAATGGCTTGGGTGCTGCTCGTGTGGGGAACAGATCATCCATTGACGAATTGCAGGGAGCAAATGATGGGGAGGCGTGGATCCCATCTCTACGTGACACGTGGCAGCCAGAGTTCATGCGCGCATCACGGCATGCCACAGAAGATGCAGAAAGAGCGGAATCCTCTGTGGACACCGAGACACTGCTGGGGATCCAGTTCGGGCGACCCTCATCCCTGCCCCTTGACAGCGCATCCCCCTCTCCACAGCCACCGATGGGTTCGGAGGTGTCAAATGGGTCAGGGCCCTGTCAATTGTCTCATCACTCCAGTCGCACTGGGACCAGCGATGCGTCTGGCACCGGCGGGGCTTTGGGGGCCAGCACCAGCATGCACAGCTCCTTGCCACGGCACCACTGGTACTCACCAACAACGGCAGATGCAGAATCGAACGGGGTTGGTGGATCTACATCGCCCAAGTCAGGCTTGGAATGGGCAAATCTGCTGTCTGTAGGGGGCACTTCCAGAGCATCACTGAGTGGTGACGGGACCGCAGAGCCCTTCCTGGCTTCCCGCCAGTACTCGGCCATCACAGCGCTGTCAACTGAACAGTCACCACAGATGGGGGAAGGCAGTTCAAGGCAGCATGACATGGATGCTGAGACTTCAGAGTCGCCCGCTGGGGAAGTGGAGGCCAACTGGCCTGCATCTCGTTCAGCCCAGAAACACACAAACTTGCTGAGTGCAATGGAGTCACTGCGCCGCACAATGTCAGAGATCGGGAGGGACTTTCCGAAGGGTCCATCGCACAAACTGTGGCATGATGGCAGCCAGTCTGGTGGGTCTTAGACTGTGAGTCAATGGCAGTCAACTGCTGCTTCTGGTAGCGGGTTTGGTGCAGAGGTGCAAGGGTTGCACAGGATCATGGTATGCAGCAAATCAACCCATGCAAGTGGCATCGTGCACAGCTTGTTGTGGTCATCTGGCATGGCTGTTCTACTGAATTGTCCAGAGAAACCAAAACCATGATCCATAGCGTTAACCAGAGTTTGAAATTCGAATTTGTGAGCATCTCCGAGGTTGCAATACTGTCGCAACACAAATATTTGCCCCACAAACCACACAATTGCCCAATGGCCCATCTCACAAGCAAAACTCACATACCGATCACTCAGTCAAGAAGCTCACATCGCAAGGGCTCCCAGCCTGCGTCCCCCACCGCATCACAACAGACAATTCACAGCTGTTTTTGCAGTCCCCTACTTTTACAACCCAAGGGCCTTGGCATGGAACTGGATGTGGTCAGCCATGAAAGTGGCGATGAAGAAGTACGAATGGTTGTAGCCAGTCTGGGCAATACACAACACACGCAGCAGCGATGAGGAATTCACATCCAAACCAGCCTTGTGGGTTGCAAAGGCCATAATACATGGAAATGCATCGTTCGCAACATGTCTGCCAACGATTCTTTCGAACAAACAGGCGGCATGGTACCATCTGCAATCAAACTCTGCACCAAATTGCCCACCTTTTGTATCACATGCTTTGGATTCGGCACCAATGCGACCAAAAGTGCTGCCACGAATGTGTTGGCAGATTGACCTCAAAGACTCACTAAATCAGTGCAACGGTCAGGAACGAGTGGCACTGTTTCTGTGTCAAGCCCTTGGCAACTCCTAAGCAGGTAACAAGATACAGGCCAACAAGATACATCTGTGACTGTGGGGCACTGCACAAAGCACAGATTTTGCCCCCCCTCCCCCCCCCTCACCCACCTGCATTCTTGAGGTCAGTGGATATTGTTTTTCCTGAGCGACCTTCTCAAGGACCCAGGGTGTCAGCTGTTTCTCAAGAAAGGGGTCGTCTGTGCCTGTGTCCATCAATATGGGAATGGACACACCGCTATATGTCTTCAGGAGTTCCGTGGCATCGTACTGTGCCCATTCACTCTGGTCATCACCAAGATAGCCACCAAATGCTGCAAACCACAGCATGTTCCAGTTGGCAAAGCAGTATGGCATATGCAGACAGTGAGTGCAGCACATTTCGGTTTCATCCTGTAGCTTGCCAAAAAGTGGTGCACTTGCCTGGTGTTATCCCCAAGCAAACCCAGCACCAAGGCCGCCAGAATTAGATAAGGCACTGCCAGCGGCATTGTTGACACCATCCATGGTCATCAAAACTTCCACCTTGTGGTGTTTCCTCATGTCAAAGATTGTGCCGAAGATTGCATCAATGGGCTTGTTCACAGTCTCCTTACAGTTGAGAGAACATTGAACTGTGCACACAAACAAGGTTTTTGTGTGTTTGGGCAACGCACCCTTGTGTCCCCATGGCACCTGTGTGGGGTTGCAGATTGGAGCAAACGCGCTGATGGACTTGAACATGCCTGGGTTCTTCAAGGCGATGGTGAGGGCGCCATGGCCCCCCATGGAGTGCCCCATGATCGATGCCTACAACCAATCAAGACTTTTAAAAGCAGCCAACCCCACAATGGTGATTGGAATGCTATTCACCAGAAGGCTAACAAAAACAAGCTCGTGAGAACCTGCCAGGGCAGCTATCAGCTCCATGCAAACAAATTCTGTTGGCTATTCAATCGACAGCATTCATTGTCTCAGAAATGAACTGTGCCTGGATTGACACCCCGTATTGCCTATTGGGTGTGAAGGTTGTGCTTTGTACTTTCGTGACAATTGTCATTGTTAGGATGTTCGCATCCGGTGCGTACGCTCACAGGCAGTCGCCCTCCCAGGCACGGGGAGCAAGCCGCAACCAGATGGATTACCGAATGATTGTGTCGGTCATGTAGTGTTCACTGCAAGCATGCCCCATCCATATTCCACCCAGTCATTCCCCATTTCATCATATTTAACACCATATTCAATTCACTATCAAAACACCATTCTCCACATAATTACTTATGTATTCTCCCGTCCTCACAGTCATAAACGGAACTGATATTGATTATGTGACATCACTGCCTTTTCACCTATCAGGTGTTGTTCAACACACTCACATTGCCCAAATCCAAGTTTGGGAAACTCCTTTGGATCAGTGCTGGCAGCTCTTCCACAACGTATTCATACATGCGCCAGTTCTTCCATTTTTCAACTTTGGCATTCAGGTAAAAGCCAGCACCTGCAACAGAGACAATACAAACAAATCAACCCGAGTGTACCCTGGTCCTCAAACTGCACGAACACAAGGCTTCCCCCAACCTTCGAAAATGCACAGGGCAAGGAATCTGCATGGCACATTGTCTTTGGGAATTAATGGTACCCACAAGTGCAGAAAGCGCACTATGGTACTTGTTGTTGCAACCAGAATGGTTTCATTTGTGGCCCCATGCCTCTGTTGGTACCAGGTTGCCAGCCTTGCCATGCAAGCGATCTGTTGGAATTCTGCCCAAGCTCAGATGCAGGGCATTGACGCTGACCAAATGTCCATGTGGCTCTGCCCAAAAGAACACTACGTGCAAGCAAGCAGCATCTTTCAGGGCACCTTTTCCATGTTAGCAACCATCTGGCATGTCAGTAACAACTTTGCACTGTGGCTGCAACCTCTTTGCGGTATTTGCAAGCTCTCATTAATTTCTTTTGGGGCTCAGGGTACGTTAGCTATCACAGAGCATTGCAACCTTCTGTTTGCTGAAAATCGTTATGCTACTTTCAGCCAAAGAGTACAATTTCAGCGGGAACACCACAGCACCTACGCGGTGCTGTCCACAACCCAGAAATGCATCCCTGTGTGGGACGCTTTGTGGACACATGGCTCCAGGTGATTGTCTGCTAGCCACAGCAACAACTGTCACCAAGCCACACTGATGTCGTGACCTCCCTAAGAGTTTTAAGGTGGCACTGCCCACCTAGTCACTATCCAGCCTCCATCTGAGAGGCTGCACCAGTACAAGGATCCATCCTGATACCCCACAAGCTCCCTTGGGGCTGTTCCATGCCTTGCACTTTGGTACTTACTTACTTTGTACTATGATACTGTTCCTTGATCACATTTCGCCTGAGATTCCCTTGTGACAAAATGATTCCGACCTCCCAAGAGACTGAACCACTTGTCCCACAACACTACATGTTCGACAAAGTATCAACTGCTGGAAAGGACCAAACGAGCATAATTCACATTTGGTCCAAGTTTTTTCTGCAGTCTTCACATAAATACAAGCAATGCCACAAACTGTAATGATGGTCTCCCACATAGTTGCAATCGATTCCATTTCACTGTGCAAGACTCACTGAGGCCAAAGTCCCAGTTGTCACTCTCCCCCTCCACATTCAAACCCCCTGTCAAATGCACAAAATTCAGCTTGAAAGTAAATTCCCAATACCAAGCATGGGGCCCCAAACTGTCCACGAGCAGATCAAATTCAAAAAGAAACAAAGGGTGTGCACCCACAGTGTTTAGACTAAACACTATAGGTTCTCATGTATGAGTTTTGACTCAGCCACAGCTCATACATCACAGCCATTAACCAAGTGAAGAAGGCGCAGTGCTCTCCGAACAGGGTACAGTGTTCAGCGAGGCAAGCAAAATAGCTGCAGATAGGTAAGTGTCTCAATGGTCCATTTGTTCAGATAATGATAACTTTGCAGAAAACAACATAGTGAAAGCATTTGTGTGCAAAAAAATCATGGACACTTGCCAATGTCAGGGACACCTTGTGACACCAGGAACAAAGCACAGATGGGGCGAACATGTGCTGTCCAGCCATTCCGTTTTGTTTCCTTTGCCAATTTTTGCTTGATTTAACATCAGGGACACAAAATCGTTGTCAAAGTCGTCCTAGGATTTGCACTGTTCAATGGCATGCAACCACAGGAAATCCACTTGGCTGTTGGATCTGCCTTACTGGGTGAGGTGTCTGGTGCTACCAATGCTATCCCGAGTTCAGATGCCAGCCTCTGAGCCCCTGCCTGACCAGACAGTGAATAAAGTTTCAGAACAGGCGAGGCATGTGGTTCAGTACAGTGCATGCCTTGACACTCTCCTGTGGGCACCTTTTCAGCTGTTCGACAGAGTGCTTTCTGCTCTTCACCATAATTGGATCTGGCCCGCTGTCTTCTGCAGGAAAAATGACTAAGGCTGCCAAAGTCCTTGCTGCATTGGCTGCTACAGCTGTATTGCTTGTAGGGCTCACATATCTGGAAAATGTAGGGCTGGGCATTTCAACACACAAACTGCCTTGTCCGTGTGAGCAGCACTAATCTCGAAAACGGCACAGAGATTCAAGGTTGTGGGCCTCGTTGGTGTTCTGCCACCGCAGGGAGGGTACAACATTTCCAGGGCTAGCTCTCAGAGCAATGTAATTAGCAGCAGCAGCAGCAGCATACACCTTGAATTTTCTTGTGAGGTGGCACAACGTCGATGCCTACACTGTCAGGACGGGGCCGACGCCTGGGCTTGATTGAAATGCAACAGTTGGAAGCAAAACAAAAACAACCCTTAAGAGGCCACAAAGGACATGGACAGGGCGCAACAAAACCCTTCAGGGACACATCGCCTCTCAGCCATAACGAAGCGCGTCGCTGGGCCACCCATACGGCGACTCCTGGGCTGCGAGATGTGGGTCCAGGATAGGCAGAGTATGGGCAGATGACAATCCTGCTTGCCTTGTTGATGAAGTTCTCGTCCGTGCACGTAAGGCCGCTCAAATAGAAGATCACCTGGCCAAGGAGATGACAAGCCATCCCTTTATACCGAGGTGCTGAAAGTTTAAAAGTTTTGCAGCACGCCGAAAAGCTCGACAACCGCGCACGACCACAAGATCTCCATCGGTGCCCGCTTTGCGGCCAACTTGGAGCACAATTCACCAAGCAATCCCCGGAAACAAAGCTTCAAGGTCATGATCTCGAACGTGCAAACTGTTACGTCCCTGGCAACCATGCAGAGGTGAGGCCGAATTTCAGCCTGTGCGGCTCGCGTTGGATGGCCTGGCCTGGGTGTCGACATCACGGCAGGGTCCGCGAAAGTAGTGCACACTCACAGGGACCTTGGCGGAGTCCGAAGCGGGAGGGAAAAATATCTGAAAGATCATGTCACAGCCGCAGGCGCTGCTTGAGTGCTTGTAGCGGCGGTTCCAGCCGCCGAATGCCTGCAAGACAGAAAAGCAAGGGCAGCGTGAAACCACCAACACGCCAGCCCGTATCCAGAACAGCCAATGTGACGCGAGACACGCGCGCCTGATCTGTGGCCCCCGATAGCCGCGTCCCGTCCCTAGCTGAGGGAGCAATCGCTCAGCGGATTGGGGTGTTTTTTGCCCGAGGGCAAGCAGTGCCGCGGCGACCCCTGGTTCCACTGCCATTGGCACGCGCGACAGCAGCCAATGGCGCCAATCTCAAGCCCACTGATTACCTTGTTCTTTGCGATCTCCTCCACGCCTTCGGCCATGTTGTCGGCCCGACCTCCTCGAGGACACTGAGAAGCCTGTCCAAACGCAAACCGTCGGGGAGGCAGCCACCTCACTCCTCGGCGCTGCCCCAAGCATCCGCCTTGTGGCGAATACACCCAGTCCTATTCTCTCCGTTTGTCCCTCATTCACCACATTTCTTCCCAAGGCCTCAAGGAACGGGGCGAAAAGTGCAATCCAGCCGGGGGAAGGGATTTCGCGACGCACCCGCGGCGCGCACAACCGAAGCCGTGAAGCATTTTACTCCACAAGCCGTTGAGCTGAAACAGAATCTGGTATTTGGCGTTTTGAGGTAATAGTGTCTTCGAGGTATTTGAGGTACTTGGTGCGCTTTGGCCCGTCACAGCGTTGTGACAAATGTTGCGCGCCGCACTTTTTCCCACCTCCGATAGGGGCACCATCCCGTTGCCGAACTGCCAGTTGCTAAATCGTCACTGACCACTTCGGGTGGGGCCGCGATGCGCGCTGACCGCTGAAAGTCTGGTATTTGGTGTTTAGAGGTATTGTCTTGAGGCATTTGCGGTATTTGGTGCGCTTTTCCCTGTCACAGCGTCGTGGCAAATGTTGTGCGCTGCACTTTTCTCTGCCTCCGATGCGGCTACGATCAGGTTGCCGAGATGTCGGTTGCCAAATCGTCACCGACATTTTCGGATGGGTGGGGCCTTGGGGCGCGCTCAAAATCCTGGGACTTAACCAAAGAGAGGGCGAGTACTCTCGCGCCTTCGACATCTGCACTTCCCTGCGTCCTTCCCAGTCAATTTCGAAGGATATTCCGACCGGGCGGCGGGACGGTCAGCACCGCCTCGCCTGCCTTCCCGTCCATTTATCGGCGCCTCAATGCACTACTCCTCGCCCCAAACTCTCCTGACGCCCAGCGCAGCGGGCCGCCCCCCGGCCCATACCGAACGCCTCCGCACCCGAGCCCGCGCGCGGCCGCCGCGCTTCATCGCCATGGTGGGCCGCCTCCGGGTCCCAGACGCGATCGACGTTCTCGCTTGCGGCCCATAAAGCGCCCAGATCTCCGCGGGCCACCGTCGTGACGCCCCCTTTGATGCATCACCTCTTTCTCGCTCGAGCCGGCCGCGTCCTCCTCCTTCGTGGAGAAGCGCATGTGGGGTGCCCGCTTCGGCTTGGTCCACTCCTCCCAAGGATCCGTCGCCTGACGCGGTTGGCCGATGGCCGTGCCTGCAGGGGGACGCCGTCGATCGCACGCTCGTGAAGACAAAGCCGCGCGTGGAGCGCAACCGCGTGCTGGTCACGGGCGGAGCCGGCTTCGTGGGCAGCCACCTCTGCGAGTTCCTGGTCAACAGGGGCGATCACGTGAGAGCCACCCACCCACCACCGCCCATCGTTGCTTGCTTGTGTTGTGTGCTCATCTTTTCTCTCTATCAGACTCTCTATCAGGTTCTTGGAGCATGGAAAAGAGTCTCGTATACACTTGCTTAGGAGGGGGTGCCCTTTGTGTGACCTGCTTCTTTCTCTCCTTGTGACCAATCTTACCCCCTGCCGGTCGATCGCCACCATTCTGGGGCCCTTCGCTCACGCGCCGTCGGGCCTGCCAGGTGATCTGCCTCGACAACTTCTTCACGGGCAGCAAGGAGAACCTGTCCGCCGTGCTGGACAAGCCCAACTTCGAGCTGGTGCGCCACGATGTGGTGGAGCCGATCCTGCTGGAGGTGGACCAGATCTACCACCTGGCCTGCCCGGCGTCGCCCGTGCACTACAAGTACGGACGATCACGCCCGACGGCCCCGCGCCGGCCGGCCCCGGCACCGCACCCGCTTTCGATCGCCGCTCGACGCTGCTGGGCGGCTGCGCGGCGATGCTGGTTGTCTTCGCGGCGCGCGGAGTGCTCAGCGGGCACTGATGCCGAAGTAGAACACAGCCATTCCGTCGAGCGGTGTCAAGCCCTGAACTCTTTGGTGGAGAGGATGCTTCTGGGCTGACCCTCGGCGATAGTGCCCGCGTGATTCAACGCCAGCACTCTGAACCGTTCAGAGCGCGCGACATGCAGCGGCGTTACGCGAGCAGCGTTCGTCGCAGTTTGAGTCATCCGTGGCCTGAAGCTCGAGGCCGGTCGCCGCAGGTACAACCCCATCAAGACCGCCAAGACGAGCTTCATCGGGACGAT